CTAAATGGTTTACAACATTTTACGTCTTTTGAATTATATCACCAAATTGGTCTCTCATTTCTCTGTGCCCTACGTGACATTGGGAATTACCATGGTTTTCAGTTTTTGTCACTTTGATAAGTGGAATGTCCTCCTTTTTAAATTAAGGCACATGCCTTCTGATACCAGTGAGCTGTTTCACCACCTAAGTGTCAGGTGTAGATGCACTCTTAGAAGTATCCCACTCCCTTGTAAACCAGTAATCCAGCTGTTTGTCTTACAGCCTCTACACCCTCCTTTCTCTGTACAGATAACTCAGTGTGCATGTTCTCAGAACTGGCTATTGAAACCATGCGAAGAAAGTAAAGAGGGAGTGACTTTGCCTGACAGTGCGCCTCTTTTCTGTTCTCTCAGCACAGCCGTGGACCCATGGCTTCCTCTGAATTATTTTACTCAACGGGCTGCAGTGACTGTCAGCCTCGGCTTTGAGGGGACCCAGATTCTGAGTGGTTGGTGTTTACCCAGGGTTCCGAGAGAACCTCATTCAGGCAGTATTTATTATTTCCCTTTTTCTTAGAAGGCTGTTGGGGGCTCTGTAGCATACTTAGTGCCTTGTTAAGCACTTAATTAAAAGAAGTACTGCTGGGTACTGCAGGTGAGGTAGAAATCGGAGTCTAGGAGTTTGTTGTTTACTATGCATGATGAATTGAACAGAAAAATAGCTCTACCACAAATAGAGAAGACCCTTGCCATGTGAGTCTGTACAGTGCTTCAGTGCACTACATCTAAAGGGGCTGGTGCTCTTCTGAATAAGACAGCTTTTCTGTGGAATGCATCTCTAAAATTTATAGTGCAAGTCAATGGGAAAATGATTTGATCCTGACACACTTGTAGTAAGAATGCATCTTTGGAATAAGCTTGGGCATAACCATGCATGCATGTCTTTAGTTATTATCTCACTAGCATGTTTTGAGAATGGTAATACTAGATAGATAGATAGATAGATAGATAATCATTATAAAGACATATAATTATTACTAAGCTCCATTTATCTTTGCAGTGGTGGTGTAAAATTTCCATGTATATAGTTATTTCCCTAGCTGTGTAAGTGGCCACATGAGGAGTGGTTGCTGAGAGTATTCCTGCCTTAAAAGGCAGTCTTGGGAGGCAAATTCAAACTAGCCCCTAGGCAGCTATTGAAGCTCATTAGGAACCAGTTAGAACAGCCTTGGACTCCATGGATATTTGTGGGTTGTGGAAAAGTCCCCATGGGAAGGAGTAACTGTAATTAAAGACAGGTCATCTTAGTTCCTTCAGTTAAAAAGAAAAGTGAGTTCAGGGTCTGTTGCCATCTGTAGAAAGGGGCACTGAGGGTGGCCTGCCTGAGGGTGGCGAGAGCCCCCCTCCGTCTACCCTGCCAGCCATAGAGTTAAATCTAAGACAGCGGCTGGCCACGGCTGCAGAGTAGACATCAGGATGTGTTTAATGTACAGCCCCAACCAGAAAATCTCATTTTCCTTTCCCTTCTCCCTAACCCCCAAACAAGTCTATAATCAAAACCTTAAACTCTAGGATGTTTGGAATATTTTATTCAAAAGTTTATACTGCGTTTTTCTTCCTGCTTTGTGTTCATCTAATATCTGTATATTTTTTCTTCAAATGTACTTTTTACTTCTAATAGAACTATATTCTGAAATGTTCTCTTATCTCCATTTATTACCATTAATATTCATTTTCTTTGTGGACACCTGCTTAGCTTGAGAAGTAACATAACATCTTTGATACGTTATTGGGATTTTCTAGATTGGGAGATTATTCATTAAGGTTGTATATAATAATTTTAAAAATTCTTTCTGAATAATTGATTTAACTTTTCTAAAAATCTCAAAGGATGCTGGCCTAATATACCTGACAGCTTGTTCTACCTATTTATTGTGAGATGCATCATTCATGTAGGAGAATATGTTAGACATATTGGAAGTAAAGAATAATTATAAGAGGGAACACCCCAGACTGCCATCCAGATCAATACATGGACTGTGGTGAGCACTGAGCAACACTCCTGTGTGGGCCCCTCTCTGTTCACAGCCTCCATCCCCAGGGAACCACTGCACTGCTTTAGATTACATTTTTATTGTTTCTAAAACTGTCTGTGTGTGCAGTTTTCACTGATAACATTAGTTTTGCCTTCTTGAACTCTGGGTAAACGGATTCATATTGTAGATTTTTCCCCCATAAGATCCCTGTTCAGCATTCTGTTTGAGAAACTCATGCATTTTATTCTGTAGTTCATTTTCCTTGCTGTATAGAATTCTGTTGTTGAATATACTGTACCACACTTGATTCATTCAGGTTGGTTTCAGTTTTGGCTAATGTAAATGATGCTACTGCTACAAATGCCTGTGTGTGTGCCCTGGAGTACTTGTGAAGACTGTGTCTGATGCATGGAGTCAAATAGATCGATAGATAATCTCATCACTAAATGAAGAAAAGAGGAAATTTCAGAATATAGTTCTATTTGAAGTAAAAGGAGTGGAATTGCTGTATCCAGAGTGTTCACATCTTCATTAGTGCTAATGAACCAAACGGTTTTCCAGAGTGGTTGCATGCTTATAACTTTTAATGAAAACTAGTATTTCTATCAGAATTCTGTACATGGAAAATATCTTCCCAAATTTATCTCTGATCTCTGACATTAATTCAAATGCTTCTTAAAAAACCAAAAGTGCATTTTTATTCCCCCCACTGGTGAATTTTATTCATGTCAGTGGAAAGTAGGAATCAGATCAAATGAACTATAGCATAAGTGCGTTTTCTCAGGGTTACTGTTGTACTTTAATAGTCAAGAGAAATGTTTTCTGTGTAGTTGCTGTTTTGAAACACAGAATATTAAACAGCCATGTACTCAGTGGTTGAGATTTAATAAAATTAACAATTTTATTGCTGAATCGAGAACATTCTTTTTTTTTTTAAAGTATATTTTATTGATTTTTTACAGAGAGGAAGGGAGAGAGATAGAGAGCTAGAAACATCGATGAGAGAGAAACATCGATCAGCTGCCTCCTGCACATCTCCCACTGGGGATGTGCCCGCAACCCAGGTACATGCCCTTGACCGGAATCGAACCTGGGACCTTTCAGTCTGCAGGCCGATGCTCTATCCACTGAGCCAAACCGGTTTTGGCTTGAGAACATTCTTAAGTGAAGCTGGCATTTCAAAAAAATCCAGTGAGTACTGGTACAGTTGGGTACCAATAAAGAGCTGGCAATTTGACCCACTATCCCTTTTGTACCACTGATACAAATTATCAACACAGTGAAGAAGGCACATAATGTCCTAGTATTATTATGAAAATTATTTTCACTTTATGGGCACCCTGGGGGGTTTCGGTGGGATGACTGATAATTTACATTGTCGTATTTAATGTAGATGCTTTAATAATCATGAATTATGCTATTCAGTTGTTTAAACCCATGCATATATGTATAGCTGGGTCTTGAGAAGTTGCTTTTGCTTTTCCCATCTGTGATGCTGCCCCCACGCCAGAATAGGGACTAAGGTGGTATTATTCCATGGTGTTAGTATTTTAGGAGGACGAACTTAGCATTCATTTGAATTTTATAGCATTTGTTTTCACTTTTTTTTTTCAGGTGCAAGTGCTTCCTGAGAGATTTTGGTTGTTTTGATTTATTGGCACATACACAATGTATATACTGTGACTCATCTGTAGTAGGGCCTCTCGAGGAAATGAGGTGTAGCTGCTGCCTTGCTCCTGCCTGCCTCCTCCTCCTTTTGTTGGGCACCCAGTTTACGCAAGGTCTACTCCAGAGATGAGAAAGACGGGTTCCTGCCTCCGGAGCCTAGGGAAGAGCGTTGGAATGCAGTGTAGAGGCTGGTACAGAAGTTAGTGCTGGGTGCTCTGGGAAGCAGCACAGGAGAGGGGCCGTTGTAGGTGGCTTTTAAAGGAAGCGGTGGGGCCTGGCAAGGGAGCAGCCGCGGTGGAGACATGAAGGAGAGGAAGAACACACTACTTTGTGGACAGGGAGTGGCCCAATGCCATGTTGGTAACACAGGCTGGGCGTGGAGGCCGTCAGGAGAAGAGGACAAGCTGAAATCACATCGTAAAGGGTCTTGCTGGGACTTGGTCCCGTTGACCAGGGTTATCCAAGCCTGCTCCCCAGACCAGCTGCATTAGCATCTTGGGAGCTTGTTAGAAATGCAGATACCTGGGCCCAACCCGAGGCTTTGAGGTCCGGTATTGTGGCTGAGGCCAGGCTGTGTGTTTCACTAGGCCTTTAGGGGACTGCCTGGGCCAGGAAAGAACAGTCAGGCTCTTGAGCAGCCTTGCATTTTTGTAAAAGCTCACTCTGAGGACCCTCTGGAAGGTGGGATGGTGTGGGGGAGTTAGGGGCTGAGTCATTGCTGTTTTTGTGGATGGGATGTGGTTTGGACTGAAGGTAGTAGGAAGAAGAGAATGGATTTGCTGGACTTCATTGCTATTAGACAGTTTAAAAGTTGAGAAAACAGCTGTGCTTTGCTCTGTGACCTACCCCAAATCAGGGATGGAGGGGTTTTAAACACCTTTGCTGCCTTCTGTCTTCGGGGAACATCTTTTACTGATTGGGGGCGGGGGGCACAAATCACATAACTGGCCTGAGCCTCTTCAGTCTCCTTTTGGATGTTGCCTGCTTAATCAGAATGACGGCCTCTGGAGGGGTCCTCTTGCATAATCCGGAGTCTTAGAAAGGAGGGCAGAGTGGGAGACAGAGGCAGTGATTTCATTCTGGTCTGCCCAGCTACTGGCCAATTTAATAACCGGTAATGGCAAAGACTTACGTTGTACATTGTCTCTAAGTTGGTGGGATGTTCCTTTTTGCTCTTTGAATTTTACCATCACTAGCTCCATTTGGTACATGTAAGTGTAAAGATGGGTCTCCAATTTCAGTTACAGCGATTATTCTGTTAGAAGCTTTATTCTTCAGCATTTTAACACTTTTTTTATATCCTATTTTGTTTTACAGATTTGTAAGACTCCAGGGCCTTCATGCTGTGATTAATCAGATGGTTCCTGAAATGACTGGGAAAACAGACACTTTACGGGCCAGTTGAAGAGTGTATGTCGGTGTATATTTAAAACCTTTCTATGCACACACACGCACACACACACACACGAGAAGACAGGCTCATTCTGGTGCACACTTGAAGCATTTTACAACTGATGAAAATTAATCTAAGAATCAGATGGAGCAACTTGACACCACTGGGCTCAGGGGCCCGGGGAGAAAAATGCATCACTAACGGCCAGTTTTCCATATGGTCTTCACGGGTAAAGAACGTTTGCAAAAAGAAGAAAAAAAAAACTTGCACAGATCAAGCTTCAAAAATACCTCTCCAGTTGAAATAAGGAGCTAAGTGAGACGGTGCCCAAGGGAGAAGTGTGATTTCAAGCATTGCCGGTGGGATCAAGCAGTGTTTTTTGCACTTTATTTTTCAGTGGATTTAATGATTTGGACAGAGACTGTAAAATTCTGGACTGACAAGTTTCTTTACTGTGAGCTTGTGACTGGAGGAAAGCCAGTTCAGGTTTGATGGGACAAGTTTGAACAATGAACTGGTTCCTTTGCCTTTTTCAGTTGACTATACTCGAGAAACTTTAATTTATTATTTCCCTTTCCTTTTCTGTATCTACAGGATAATATCTTAGGTAGCATTTGAAACCGATAAATAAATATCAAGGAACATCCAAGCAAAGCTTCTTTTCCTTGGACTGTACGTGTGGCATCTGGAAACATTCTCTGAATGTGAACAGAAAAGGGCCCATCAGCAAAACGAGGTAACTCCTTAGGGACACTGGGGAAGAACCCGACCCTTGCCTGTGTTTTTGTTCTCTTCTCTTCTGTGGAGTTCACGAAGACTTGTGCATATAAGAGGAGGATTACTTGATGGACTTAAATCTGAGATTCTTCCTTTTTCTTCCAAGATGAAAAAATGTGTGATTTTTAGGAGCAGAAAGGGGAGAAGTTAGACTGGGGGGAGGAAGGAGACAGGCAAAAGAAGCAATCTGCAGCGAGGCTTCGTTTTGTCAGCAAGAGGATTTAGGACTCACCTGAGGCAAACACTTGGACCAACGCTCTGGCTCTGTGGCGTGAAGGGGCTTCCTCTCGCCCCCTCTCTGGCATGAGGGCTGCGTGGGCTGTGCGGGCAGTCAGATAGAGCCCCGCTCTCGGGGGCAGCACAGGGACCTGCCAGGACACCGCTGGGGCTCTGAACCCCGGCAGAGAACCTTTTCTTCCTACACTTGGACTGCTGTCTGCACAAACTGGTCGTTCTGCACGGTGTGTGTGCCTTTTTCCCCTTTATGCAATCTTTTTCAGCTTTAGCAGCAGAAATTTGTCTAGTTGAGAAAACATGCCAGAGGGTGGCTTCAGAAAGAGGAGGATCCCCTGTGCTTTGTTTCTGCGTCTGAACTTTTGAAGAAAAAATTCCAGCTCGAGGGATTCTTAAAGCCTTAAGTTACTTGAAATCTATGTATTTGCAACCCTTGGTCTCTGGAATCATATTACACTAAACTGGAATCTCAGGCGGAATCAGAATAACCAAGTTGAGTAAACAGAAGGAAACTCAGTTTCTTGATCACTACATATTAATGATGCTCTTTCTCCAAAGGGTCAGCCCACTCTTCCTCTAAGGACTTGAAAATAAAAATGGACCCCACATTTTTTTAAGCATCACCTTTTCTTAGCAGACTGCCATCATCTTTTATAGAGGAATTTTTTCACTATGCATTTGGTGGATCTTTATAAAATACTGACCTTCTAATTAGATCCAGGTCAATCTTAACTAAAGGAGACCGGAGAAGCCAAGCCAGCCAACCACAAAAATAGAATTAATCAATGAGAGGAATTGGGTTAGCTTTTTCAGCACTCAGCATTGCTCTTTAAGTACAAGAGTCCACTGAGAGAAGTATGTATGCAGCGGTGGAGCAGGGGCCTGTGCTCTGCAGCGACTCGAACATCCTCTGCCTGTCCTGGAAGGGGCGCGTCCCCAAGAGCGAGAAGGAGAAGCCTGTGTGCAGGAGGCGCTACTATGAGGAGGGCTGGCTGGCCACGGGCAACGGCCGGGGCGTCGTGGGCGTGACCTTCACCTCCAGCCACTGCCGCCGGGACAGGAACACGCCACAGAGAATTAACTTCAACCTGCGGGGCCACAACAGCGAGGTGAGTGGCTTTCCTTTCACAGTTTGGTCACTTCTAGAGGTATTTTTGAGCCACCCCCACCCACTGGCTCAAAACTCACTTTTCTTCAGTTTCTTATATTTGCTGCCAAGTGAGACTTTTTGCAAAGTGAATTCTGTCGCCAGTGTTTTGGTGGGAAAGTGTTAGGGCAGACACAGTGCCCATTGCTTAGTTACCTTATCTTCACCTCCTTCCACCACAATGAGCAAACCCCTTGTCCCACCCACACGCCCTGCAAGCTCCCTGCAAGCTCCGGGGTGGAGCTCATGGAGGTCCTGACTCCGCCCCCTGGCCATGGGACAGAACCCAGGTGTGATAGCTCCAGGCATCTGCTGACGTCACAACTGAACAACTTGGGACTGTTTTTCTCCTAGAGAACAATTTCTTATACATATTTTCACTGCCATGCAAGTTAGTCATGGTTAATACTGACTCTTTATTTAATAGGATTTCCTTAGGACAGTGGTTCTCAACCTTCCTAATGCCGCGACCCTTTAATACAGTTCCTCATGTTGTGGTGACCCCCAATTTCATTGCTACAAATTGAACATAATTAAAGCATAGTGATTAATCACAAAAACAATATGTAATTATATATGTGTTTTCCGATGGTCTTAGGCGACCCCTATGAAAGGGTCGTTCGACCCCCCAAAGGGGTCGTGACCCACAGATTGAGAACCACTGCCTTAGGAGCAGATAGGCAGTCATGCGTGTTTGGTGGAAATGGTTTCATTATAGGGACACATCACTATAGGAATGGTCTTACCTGCGTTCTAGGATTTGGTTACCTCTCTCTGAGAAGCTTTTCCTTACCCCCAAGCCCCCTTTACTCCCCACCCCCCACTTGCCCCTACTGAGCTCTGAGCAGCCTTCTGTGGTGGTGCTGGTAATGATAGTTATCTGCTGTGTGGGTCAGTAAACTTACTGGAAGATTGTCTGTTCTTGTGGTCTTAACTTCCTCACCTCCCACTCTTTAAAATGTCATTTATTTTAATTGCCTTTAACTTGTTAACCCACTTCAGTGTGGCTTTTCCCCACCTCTCTAACTGAAAAGGTCATATTCCCAGTGACCTCACATTGCTAAACCCATAGGTCACTTTATTGCAGTTAGTAGCATTCAGTGGAGTGGAAATGTCACTTTCTTGCTTTCTAGGACACCGCCCTCTTCTGGGTTTCCTCTACCTTCATGTCCTCTACTTTTCACCCGTCCTTGCTGGCTTTGGCTGTCTTCACCTTATCTTTAAGTTTAAGTGTTGGAGGGCCCCAGGCATGCATCTTTTTCTAGATGATCTCTCTTAGTTGGCTTTAAACCCACCTATATGCGGGTGACTCCCAAATTTATATTCCCCATCTATCTTCACCCTCAATTGCAGACTCCATTCTTCAATTTGGTATGTGAGATACAAAATTGGACATTAGTTACTAGACCATCTCAAAATATAGGTCTCTCATGAGAACTTGTTTTTCTGCTGCCCCTTCAGCCACCAGCCCTGTTCCAACCCCCTCTCCGCCCATCTTCTTCCCAGGACCAGCCCACAAACACTTACTACTACTAGTTTTCTTATCATGGCTATTTAGAATCCAGTCCCCTAGCCCAAGAAGCTTTTGCTCTGTACTGTTCTCCAATGCCTCTCCAAACCCTTCACTGTCCAAAACACACAGTCACTCATAACTGTTTCTGGGCTCATTATGCTTCGCCTTTTTTGAAGCAGTGTATCACAGAAGGAAAAATACACAGACATGAATTGAAATCCCAGGTCTGCCATCTTTGTGATCAGCTCTATACCTTGGATAAGTTCTATAACATCTCTGAAAGTCAGGGATAATAAAACAAAGCTGTAGAGAGTTGTTATGACAGTTAAACAAAATAGCGGACAAAAAGCACATAGAAAATTGTGGCCATATAGCATGTAGCAACTGTTAGCTGCAGCAGCAACATTATTTCCATGCATCCTACATATCCTTCTTCTGACAGATAGGTCAGCTGGGCAGAAAGAGCTCCTTCTTCATGGTGCGGGGTGTGCAGGAGGCAGCCAAACAATGATTCTCTCCCATCATTGATGTTTCTATCTCCCTTCCTCTCTGAAATTAATAACAAATATATATTTAAAAAGAGATTTTTTTAAGGTTCTTAAAGGCATTAAAAGTAAATTTATTCATGGTTCTATTCCCAGTCAGGGCACATGCCAGAGTTTCGGGCTCGATCCCCAATATGTGGTGTTCTGTCTCTCCCTCTCCCTTCCTCTCTCTGAAATCAATAAAAACATATTTTTAAAATAGATTTATTTTCCCTAAACAAAACAAAAATATTAATCCTATATAATAAAAGGCTAATATGCAAATTGACTGAACGGCTGAACGACTGGTCGCTATGATGCACACTGACCACCATGTAGCAGATGCTCAACACAGGACCTGCCCCCTGGTGGTCAATGCGCTCCCACAGGGGGAGCGCCGCTTAGCCAGAAGCCAGGCTCATGGCTGGCGAGCGCAGCGGCCATGGAAGGAGCCTCTCACGCCTCCACAGCAGCGCTAAGGATGTTCGACTGCTGGCTTAAGCCTGCTCCCCACAGTCCCTGGCAGTCAGACATCCCCCGAGGGCTCCTGAACTGCGAGAGGGCGCAGGCTGGGCTGAGGGACTCTCCCCCCCGCCTCCCCCGAAATGCATGAATTTTGTGCACCAGGCCTCTAGTAGAATTATATTTTATTTAGAAAATAGAATTTGTCAAAATAATGGCATTGTTCATTTTTTTCTTCAGCAATTTGTTTTACTTTTTTTTCTCCTAATAGAAATAAATGATCATGTCTGAAAGTAACTTAGATACTGGAAAACACTGTCTTTGGGGTGTATTTTTGCTAGAGAGGAAGAGAGAAGGATGTGGGCACAAGGCAGTAATTTTTTTGGTAACAGCCTCCTAGGGAAGCGGCTTCAAGCTGCATCATGTCAAAATGAGAATGAAGGAGGTTATTACTGAAGTCCTGGGCAAATAAATATTTTCCTAACTCTAGCATCTGTTCATGTTTTATTAATAGGTGTGCCTATGGATTCTTGAGCAGACTGCTTGGGTTTGAGCTGAGTCCCTTTCTGTATGACTTGGGACGAATTACGTATTTTTGTGCTTTGGTTACATTATCTGTACAGGAACATAACATCTACCTCCTAACTTGCTTGTGGTGACTGAAAGACACAGTCCATCGAAAATGCACATCAAAGAGCTCATTATATCTTAGTTCTTTTTAATTATTACTAGACTCTCTGCCATCCTTGGGTTTTTTGCCCATCTGCATTTCCTTTTTCCCCCTAATCCTCACCTGAGGATATTTTTCCCATTGATTTTTAGACAGAGTGGGAGGGAAGGAAGAGTGGGAGTAGGGAGAGAACAGAGACAGAGAGAGACAGAGACAGACATCGAAGTGAGAGAGAGACACATGGATTGATTGCCTCCCACATGGGCCCTGACAAGGGCGGGATTGAACCCGTCATGGTGGTATGTGTCCTTGACCGGGAATTGAACCCATTACCCTTGGGTCTGCAGGCCAACACTCTCACCGAGCTGCATTTTCTTTTGGGTTTTGAAACAGTGGAGCCATGGCGTCTCTGCTGAGAAATAGCCTGATGGTTGCAAAATATAGGAATGGAATGTGAGGCAGGAGGCAGGTGAGCGGTTAGAAGCAGGGTTCGGGGTGTCCACGCTGGGAAGGAGGCCGAGCTTGTGCCACTAGTTTTATTACAGGTTTGGGATTCTGGGACACTGGGTACCTCATCTGTGTCACCTCCATAGCTGCAAGGCATTCATCCTGCCTACTTCCATCCTAGTCTACAGCAGTACCTGGCCTCAGGTGTGCATGGAGCCACCTAGTCATCCTTCCACAGAGAGGCTGTTGGGCATAGTGCAGAAATGGGTCCCTAGTGCGCTGCGCAAGGGGGTATCCTATTCTAATTGGAGGTTTTTGTCTAAAGTTGATTGAAGTTATCTTTCTGGGATATGGTCTGGGAAGGGGTAGGGCGGGTGGGAAGGGAGCCAGAACAGGAGAATCTGTGCTGTGCAGCAGTTTGCTATTTCTCATTGGGTCCACCCACATGCTTGACTCTGAACTTCCAAAACAAACACGCCTGTGAGTTTTGCCCAGCATTTACCGCTGGATGTTTTCATTGTACCTTCTGGCAACCTACATTTGGTTTCTCTTCCTCATTGTTGCTGTTTTATGGAATTCTTACTGGCATTTGTGTTTTTTTTCCACTTGGCCTAGATAGATTTGGTCTACTAAAATACAGAGGAAATTGTCTTTATCCTAAGGAACTTTCTTTATCCTGAAATAATCTTCCTGTTCAAGTTTACTTCCTACCTTTTTTCTTCTCCCTGTATACAGTCTCCACAACAGTGTGCAAAGCAAAAACCAATGCTGTCTGTCTTATCTCTACTCTTCTCTTTCTTTGCTTCTTAAATTTTTAGAGTTTAAGCAAGTATTTGTTCATCAGATCTTTAAAATAGAAAATAACCTTGGAAATAGCATCATTGTCAGCAAGGTATATTTTGTAAACTCAGTAGCAGAAATAAATGCTTAGTGGTTTCGTTTATAAGGTAACATAAGTTGATGTTTAGACTTGGGAAGTATATTTTATTCAAACAATTTAAAAACAGAAGTTTAACATGTTAAAAACTTGTCTCCATTTACTTGATATTTTCACAATTTTAGTTTTTAATTTTTCTTCTTTTCAGGAAAGTTCTACAGGTGACTAATTAGGAAATTACTTAAATAACATGACCAAAGACCTCTCTCTCATTTAGTAGCTATGGCCAAAGATCATGAAAATCCATTGTTAGGTGAAGTAAGGATTGGGTGGAAGTGTGACTTGATCTTTACAGATTCATTCCAGCGACTTAAAATATGGTAATGAATTCATACTGGAAACCATGTTTTGTATTAGTCTCCCCACCATACCCCCCACCCCTAGCTTATGCTCTGCTCTTTCACTTGTA